CCCCCCCCCGCTCTTTTTCTTTCTCTGATTTTTCTTGGCGGGTTACTATCCCCTCTTTATAATTATGTCTTTTAGTTCTTTGTCAGTGGGGGTTGGGTTGTGGGGTAGATGTGGATACTTTATTTTTGATCTTCTTGACTTCTCCTCCTCTGCCTATTTGCTCACTTGATGTGAATTTTTTTAATAATTTTTTTTAATTTTTTTTAATTAATATTTTTTGTATTTTTTTTAATTTTAAATTATTATTGTTATTTTTTTCTTATATTTTTATTAAGGATTTATTTAGTTTGCTTGTTTTAGTTGTGCTTGTATCATTTTATTTATCTCCTGTTTTGCAATCTTTTGTTTCACTTGCTTTATTTGAATTAGTTTGTTTAGCTTCTTACCTCCTGTTGCTTCCTTTCCTTCTTTCCCTTCTATATCTGTCCCTTTCTTATCTTATTGGTGCGGCGCTTTCCTGCTTCCTTTTCTTCTACTTCTTCTCTTCCAGCCCTTCTCGCGCCCTTCTTCCGCCTTTTTGCCCTTTGGCTTCGCCCCGTCTCTTCCTGTTCTTGCGTTATCACGTCTCCTCTCGTGTCTCGCGCTCTCTCGCTCTTTCTCGCGAGGGGGCTTTGTTCCCGTTTTCTGGCTTCCCCCTTATCTCGCGTTAGTTTTCACTTCTTCCTCGGCCACGCGGCTGGAGGTTACTGCCATGCACTATCCTTATCTGCTTCCTCTCTTCGCCAAGGACACGTTTTGGTCTCTTGGCTCCCAGCCAGCATCTAGATAATATCTCCAACTCAAGGTCACTTGCTTAACTCCTTTCTTTCCTTGTCGTTTTCTTGTGTTTGCTTTTGGGGTTTTCTCCCCCTTTTTTCCTTTTTTTTTCCAAGGCGAGGTATGGGGGGTGGCAAGGGTGGGGAGATTTTTCCTTAGCTCTTTTTTTTATATATATATAATGAGAGGTCTCCTTCCTTCTTCCGCTGGTTTTAAAGTTTTGGGATGGGAAGTGAGGTTTGAGAATGGTCTATGGTTTAGGGCTTGAATATTTAGTCACGTTTGGATGCCCTCTTTTCACAGCCCGCTATACCTCGACCCTTCTAGGTCCTTCCGGCCTTCCCTTGAGGGGGTCGGTCGTCAGGTCCCTTGGATCTCGGTTCTGCTGTCCCACTTTGGGAGGGAGCTGCTGTATTGGCTCTACCCAGCTGTGTTGGTTGGGCTTATTTCCTTTCGTAGATGCCCTCTGTTTTACCTTAATTGTTGGTTCTCGCTTCCTTCTCCCTTCCCTCTTCAGACCCCTCCTTCAATCCTTGAATCCTTTTTAACTCTCTTCTTCTTCTTCTTTCCCCTTGCTCTCTTTCTTTCCCCCCTTCCCTTCCACCCCTATATTTCTGTCTCCTTTACCTTGAGCGTCTTTACCTTGAGTATCTTTGTTCCTTTATTGCTTTATTGCTTTGTCTTGCGTCCGTCTTGCATCCATTCATATATTTCTTTCCCTTTCCACTCCTGTTACCAGCTGTGGGTCTTGGATATCCCTCGCTTTATTGTTCCAGTTTCTAAAAGAGCACCTTTCTTGCTGTTTGTGCTGGCGACCTATGGATCTTCGGGAAGTTTAAAACTTCCTACTGTGGCTTGCGTCCACCCTTTTGTGCCTCGTTGCCGGGCGTCTTTGAGAGCCCCCTTGAGGGGGGCCCCACTTAGATGCCGTCGGCCGATGGCACCTTAGGGTCTCGCCCCCCCGACCTCTGTCCGTCCAGTGGGGGTTGGGCTGTTTTGCGATCCCCAAAACCTTCAAGCCAAGCCGCTCCTGATCCGAGCTCTCCGGAGCTCACAGAAGCGTGTCCTCCATTAATCAGTCGCCAACCGGACTGATTCAAGGCAGTAACAATGATATAATTATTTCCTTAAAATGAGTAGCAAGACCCCATGGCCCTCTAGATGGTGATGGACTGCAAATTCCGTCAGCCCCAAATCAACAGATCAAATGGAGAAGGTTAATAGGGGTTCAAGTCCAGCAATGTCTGCCTTGAACTGGTTTCCTAATTAGCATGGCTAAATGGAAAACAACTCACGTCACTGCCTATACCAGTAGAGGGCATTTGTGTTACCGAACAAGCCAGATCAGGATGCAATGACATGTTCATCGCAATACCCACATGTAGAAAATCAGTTGCGACTGTGCTAGATGTAACTGTGTAAATTCTATTACAGATCATTACTGGAGTGTGACCAGGATAGCCTGTCCTTCAGCTAAGACTACACTGTTTTTGACCTCTACACAGGATTGGTTTCTAGAAGGGACTGAGATCCAGCAAATGCTAGTATGGGAGGACAGGGGTGTTTGCATGACACATATTCATCCCAGGCTGTCTCCAGCCAAAATATACCTTGGCCCGGGTCTTTGACTCTTTAGAACAGTTTTTCATAAGACTGACAAATGGTTTTTCCATTAATTCTCCTAGTCCCACTATCTTCTGGCACAGAAGTGGGCAAGTGTTGGGCTTTGTTGGGTTTTTTAAACCACAACTCCAAGGTCCATCTGTTGGAATCAGGTAGAAAATGATAACTAGTTAGCTGTAGGAGATGGAAGTGTGGATGGAAGAAAGGTAAGTCATATGCTCAAAAGCTCCTTGAGGGAATGGAATAAATGATGTAGTGCAACTCAAGTTGGGGAGATTTAGAGAATAAATATGCCTCTCAGCAAGTATAGTTCAGGAAGTCATAGGAAATTTTAGAACTGGCACAGAAGCCTGTATTATGGCAGCCACTTTACAAAGAACATAACTGCTAGGAACTGGTACAGGAATTGATTAAATATAGAATAACAGCAGCATTAAAACTGGGAGATAGGCCACTGACCAAGGCCAATCCTAGTTTTTCTTTTGTTAATACCAAACAATTTATTCAACTGCTAAGTATGCCTGTCCTGTTTGGCACAAGTTTCCCACGCGAAGCAGGTGAATATAGCCTTGAATGAAACATGCAAAATCATCATAGGATGTTTCAAACCTACATCTGTTGATAGACTCTATAAGCTAGCTGGCATCCCCCCCCCCCCAATATCAATGGGAAGTTGTTGCCAACTGTGAGAGAAATAAGTTGAACACTGTGAAAGCCATCCACTACATGCCTATCCTCCTCCCAGTAGACTCAAATCAAGGAAAAGCTTTGAGAACCACCACTCCTCTTAATGTCCTCAGCAACAGCAAGCGTATCCCTCTGGGCAGCTAAACCAGGAAATCCCAACTGGATGGCCCCCACGAGGGTCTTCCTCCAGGGGCAAACCAAGAATGGGCAACTTGGAAGTCCCTGAACACAGACTCAGAAGTGGAGTGGGCAGATCAAAAGACAACCTGGCAAAATGGCACTACCTAAAAGAATCCCACACCTTATGTGACTGTGGAGCATCTGTGTGCTTGCCCACAATGCCCTGCCTCATGCACAGAGGAAGAACTGTTTAAAGCTACAGACAATGCAGTTGCTGTTGCCCGTTTTTGGTCTAAAATTATTTACCCACTTGTGATCCCTCTATGTTACCAGTTTTATACTAATTTATTTGTATAATGTTTTTGACACAAAATAAATAAATAAATAACCAAACAACTATATAAAAAACAACATCCTGTCTGATACATTGAAAATTATCCTGAGATATATATTTTTGGCAAACTGTATTTTATTTTTATTTATCGTATCAGGCAACCAAACAGTTGTATTACATTTCTGACAGAACAAACATACAAACATACAAAAGACACAGAGTTTGCAAGCTTGGTAGTTGATTAAATGTCCTTTGACCAGTATCTGGCCACTTGGAGTGCCTCTGGTGTTGCCGCAAGAAGGTCCTCCATTGTGCATGTAGCAGGGCTCAGGTTGCATTGCAGCAGGTGGTCAGTGTTTGCTCTTCTCCACACTCGCATGTCGTGGATTCCACTTTGTAGCCCCATTTCTTAAGGTTGGCTCTGCATCTCGTGGTGCCAGAGCGCAGTCTGTTCAGCGCCTTCCAAGTCGCCCAGTCCTCTGTGTGCCCAGGGAGGAGTCTCTCATTTGGTATCAGCCATTGGTTGAGGTTCTGGGTTTGAGCCTTCCACTTTTGAACTCTCGCTTGCTGAGGTGTTCCAGCAAGTGTCTCTGTAGATCTTAGAAAACTATTTCTTGATTTAAGTCGTTGACGTGCTGGCTGATACCCAAACAAGGGATGAGCTGGAGATGTCTCTGCCTTGGTCCTTTCACTATTGGCTGCTACTTCCCGGCGGATGTCAGGTGGTGCAATACTGGCTAAGCAGTGTAATTTCTCCAGTGGTGTAGGGCGCAGACACCCCGTGATAATGCGGCATGTCTCATTAAGAGCCACATCCACTGTTTTAGTGTGGTGAGATGTGTTCCACACTGGGCATGCATACTCAGCAGCAGAGTGCATAGCGCAAGGGCAGATGTCTTCACTGTGTCTGGTTGTGATCCCCAGGTTGTGCCAGTCAGCTTTCGTATGATATTGTTTCTAGCACCCACTTTTTGCTTGATATTCAGGCAGTGCTTCTTGTAGGTAAGAGCACGGTCCAGAGTGACTCCCAGGTATTTGGGTGCGCTGCAATGCTCCAGTGGGATTCCTTCCCAGGTGATCCTCAGAGCTCGGGATGCTTGTCTGTTCTTAAGGTGAAAAGCACATGTCTGTGTTTTAGATGGATTAGGGATCAGCTGGTTTTCCCTGTAGTAGGCAGTAAGAGCACCTAGAGCTTCGGAGAGCTTCTGTTCAACCATATCAAGGCTCCCTGCTTGAGTGGTAATGGCACGATCATCAGCATAGATGAACTCTCTGTCCCTTCTGGCAGTAGCTGGTCATTTTGGCAAACTGTGAAGTCGTGACAGGTGGCTGTCAGTAGTCTGTCTCTACTTGATGGTAAGCTGAAATTTCTTTCATTGGGAAGATGCTAGAATTGCCTGGGAAATGCTCCACTATTATTTCCTTAAAATGCTTGCACACATTATTGATTCATTAACAAGGGCATCTCTGTAATTTCTGAATTCTGGCAGGAACTCAAACATTTAACTGTATATTTATTTATTCTTTGCCATTTATTTTTTGTCTTCTCCTAATATGAATACTACGGGTTTTCTTTGAAGATCAAAAAGGACTCACAGTTGGTTCTGCATTTCCTTCTTCCGGAAAGGGGAAATGAGTCTGCTTTCATGTGATTGACAATCGAAGGAACTTGCGAAAGTGATAACTGTATAAATTCAGCTCACCAAAGTCTGCATGTGTCAGTTGTGTTTGAACTGGGCTAGGCCAGAAAGAAAAACAGAACGATGAACCAAGAACCAGAGAGAGAACCCAGGCTGATAAGAGAAGGCTATCTAGTAAAAAAGGTAGGCATACACAATTTTAGTTAAAGTCTTGAAGCAGGAAATGTATTTTAAAGCAAACTAAATGTTGAACGTACCCTAGGTAATTTTCAACGGTAAGCAAACAATATCCCCCCCCCCCCAACCAATCATTGATATATCTTTTCTGTTCGTCGTGGGAGTTCTGTGTGCCATATTTGGTTCAATTCCATCATTGGTGGAGTTCAGAATGCTCTTTGATTGTAGGTGAACTATACATCCCAGTAACTACAACTCGCATAGGTCAAGGTCTATTTTCCCCCAAGAGCGCCTCAAGAGCGCCCCTGGGCAAAATCAACTATACTGCAAATGCTTACTTTGCATAATGGGTTGAGCTGCCCCTGAACGAACTATCCCCAATTGAACTTGTGAAACAAAGAGAGCTGTGAACTTCATCTAGTGGACAGGAGCATTTATATGGCATTTATTTACATTGAAAAATATCTTCATGAGTCATAGCAGAGCTTTAGAATATTTGGAACCTGGAGTGGTATTTGTTCTCAGTGTTTCAAAACCGCCAATGTACAAAGCTGCATCTGTTTAATGCAACTATGCTAATGTTATTTCCATCATGTTCTTTTGCAAAGATGCAGTAGGAGTAGTACGTGCCTCATGAATGTTTTAGGCAAGGAATACTCAGAGGGGGCGTGCCTTTGCCTTCCTCTTAATATAGGATAAAGAACCTGGTATTTCCTGGCATGTTGGGTGTATCCAGGGTCTTGCCTTGCTTAGCTTCCAAGATCATACAGGTTCTGGTGCCTTCGGGGTATTTAGCAACTTTGCAAGAATATCATGGGCTTGGGACCCACCTACCCACTGTTTCCCTATTCCTCTCTTTCTTTTGCATTATTCATGTTGCCATCCTAACTGTGAGATGCATTTCCAGGGACTCTTTTTACAGCCACTATTAGATATTACAGAAGATATCATAATAATAATAATAATAATAATAATAATAATAATAATTTATTGTCGAAGGCTTTCATGGCTGGAATCACTGGGTTGTTGTAGGTTTTTTCGGGCTATATGGCCATGTTCTAGAGGCATTCTCTCCTGACGTTTCGCCTGCATCTATGGCAAGCATCCTCAGAGGTAGTGAGGTCTGTTGGAACTAGGAAAAAGGGTTTATATATCTGTGGAATGACCAGGGTGAGACAAAGGACTCTTCTCTGCTGGAGCTAGGTGTGAATGTTTCAACTGACCACCTTGATTAGCATACAATGGCCTGACTGTGCCTGGGGCAAACTTTTGTTGAGAGGTAATTAGATGTCCCTGCCTGCTTCCTCTCTGTTGTTGTGCTGTTGCAATTTTGGAGTTTTTTTTAATACTGGTAGCCAGATTTTATTCATTTTCATGGTTTCCTCCTTTCTGTTGAAATTGTCCACATATTATTCATGTTGCCATCCTAACTGTGGGGTGCATTTCCAGGGACTCTGCTCTTTTAAATAATAATAATAATAATAATAATAATAATAATAATAATAACAACACTTTATTTGTACCCCGCTACCATCTCCCCAAGGGACTCGGTGCGGCTTACATGAGGCCGAGCCCAAATACAACAATACAAGCAATAATAACAACAATACAAGCAATTAAAAATAAAACATGGATAAGATATACAACATTAATAATAAGACAACACACAATTAAAACTATGGGAAGGCCAAATGTAAAGCGAAAGGTGGGCGAAAGGTGAAAGTGGCATTTGTGGAAAACATACAAGCAGACCTAAAATGTAAAGTGCTTTGGAGGACAAAGTGCTATGGGATCATTATTCTGGGCACACTGGAACAGCCACGTCTTCAAGCTCCTCCTGAAGACTGCCAGAGTTGGGGCCTGTCTGATGTCTTTAGGGAGTGAGTTCCAGAGTCGAGGGGCCACCACCGAAAAGGCCCTCTCTCTCGTCCCCACCAATCACGCCTGCGATGCAGGTGGGATCGAGAGCAGGGCCTCTCCGGATAATCGAAGAGATCGTGTGGGTTCGTATACAGAGATGCAGTCACGCAGGTAGGCGGGTCACTATTAGATATTTTACAGTCACTATTAGATATTAGATATTACAGAAGATTTAGATATTATAGAAGATTTAGGAGTAATTAATTTTTTTTATTCCTTGATAACTGGCAGCCTGTAGTTTACCTTGAATACTGAGCCCCCGGTGGTGCAATTGGTTGAACCCTTGTGCTGGCAGGACTCAAGACCGATAGGTCACAGGTTCGAATCTGGGGAGAGCGTGGATGAGCTCCCTCTGTCGGCTCCAGCCCCCTATGCGGGGACATGAAAGAAGCCTCCCACAAGGGTGGTAAAACATCAGAAACATCTGGGTGTCCCCTGGACCATGTCCTTGCAGATGGCCAATTCTCTCACACCAGAAGCGACTTGCAGTTTCTCAAGTCGCTCCTGACATGAAAAAAAAACCTTGAATACTAAGATCTATATACTGTATTTTGGGAGTGTGAATAGCCCCATCACCACCGCCACCAACTGATCAGTTCATTGCCTAGAAGCCAGCTCTACAAGGCTGGTTCCTGGATGGCAGACATGAGGTAGGATGAAAGTAGGATTTTGTGAGGCACCTAATGCCTCTAAATATAATAATAATGATGATGATGATGATGATGATGATGATGATGATGATAATAAATGACATTATTACAAAAATCCAGCATGTACAGACATGAGGTAGGATGAAAGTAGGATTTTGTGAGGCACCTAATGCCTGTAAATATAATAATAATGATAATAATGATAATAATAATGATAATAATAAATGACATTATTACAAAATCCAGCATATACATACAGTATGTATGCTGTGACATACTGTGTTTTTGTGTCAGTATAATAATAATAATAATAATAATAATAATAATTGTTATTATTGTTAACAGCAATGTTTTGTTGTTTCTTTCTGCTGATTATTATTATTATTTTTATTAGTAATAATCATCAGAAAGGAGTAACCAAAGTCTTAAACTAGACACAACTGGTTATTCCTAGGAAACATACTTCTATGACTATTTAGAACCAGATTTTGTGTGTTCCTTCATATGAACTAAACTGAGAGCATACCTCTATTTGACATTAGCAACCAATGCATATGTTTTTCTAAATTAAATGTCAGGCACATGGAAGTGAGTAGGAGGTTATAATCAAGGTTGCTTCCCTCCTCAGCCACCGTTGCTAGAAAACCACCCCTTCCCTGCATGCCAATTTTTGCACATGTACGAATGGAAAGTTTTTCCCCTCCTAATACTAATAGGGTGGCGTATGTGTATATGTATAATGGAGACTGTAGCTGTGGGAAAAGAGTTTATTTCCCCCCTATGCACACACTCTTTAAACACTTACCTTCCTGCCTTTGATTTTGAAAAACATTGCTGGTCACGTAGCATCACCATACATTTGGCATCTTGGTTATTTCTGACATACCTTTATCCTGATTAAGTGAAACATGAAAATACCCCACCACACCTCACTATCTCTGAGGATGCTTGCCATAGATGCAGGCGAAACGTCAGGAGCGAATGCCTCTAGACCATGGCCATACAATCCGAAAAAACCTACAACAACCCATGAAAATAATTTTTCAAAATCTAATGGGATGGATGCAGCCCTGTGGATCCTAAGTTTGTGGATAGGGTTTAGGGTTAAGTACCAGGATTCTGTACAAGTGTCCATGACACACATTTTCCCACCAGGAATAGAAATGTCCAAAAGCCTGTAGCTATGATGAAGTGACTTCTGTATAGATCTATAGTCAGATTATTTATTGATCATGTCAGAAGCAAATTGAGAATACAGTTATAATGTACTAGCCGTCCCCTGCCACGCGTTGCTGTAGCCCAGTCTGTGTATTTGTGTGTGTATATTTGTGCATATGTGTATATGTATGTTTGCGCGTATATATATATGTGTGTGTGTGTGTGAGAGAGAGAGAGAGAGAGTGTTTTTGCGCATGTGTTGTAATGTAATTTTGTTTTTTGGCTTTTAAAGTCCCTTCCTTGTCAAGCTGGAATGTGTCCAGAGGAGGGCGACTAAAATGATCAAGGGTCTGGAGAACAAGCCCTATGAGGAGCGGCTTAAGGAGCTGGGCATGTTTAGCCTGAAGAAAAGAAGGCTGAGAGGAAATATGATAGCCATGTATAAATATGTGAGAGGAAGCCACAGGGAGGAGGGAGCAAGCTTGTTTTCTGCTTCCCTGGAGACTAGGACGTGGAACAATGGCTTCAAACTACAAGAGAGGAGATTCCATCTGAACATGAGGAAGAACTTCCTGACTGTGAGAGCCGTTCAGCAGTGGAACTCTCTGCCCCGGAGTGTGGTGGAGGCTCCTTCTTTGGAAGCTTTTAAACAGAGGCTGGATGGCCATCTGTCGGGGGTGCTTTGGATGTGAGTTTCCTGCTTCTTGGCAGAATGGGGTTGGACTGGAGGATGGCCCAGGAGGTGTCTCTTCCAACTGACTTTTTAAGTCCCTTCCGCTGTGTTTTTCAGTGTTTTTATGAGTGATAGTCACTTGTTGGCCTGATAGGTGGACGGTGTCCAAATTTGGTGTCAATTCATCCATTGGTTTTTGAGTTATGTTAATCCCACAAACGAACATTACATTTTTATTTATATAGATTTAAAAAAACACAAACAAAGTTAAAAACTTGGCATTATACTAATTTTCCTTTGACCAAAAGGTGGCCACTTGGAGTGTCTCTGATGTCGCTGTCAGAAGGTCCTCCATTGTGCATTGGGGGGCTCACGCTGCATTGTAATAGGTGGTCTATGGTTTGCTCTTCTCCACACTCGCATGTCGTGGACTCCACTTTGTATAGCCAGATGTACCCACACGTGTTCGGTCATCCTGTCTAAGTAGATTATATTTCATGTTCCAGGGAAAGTTCCCTATGGTCTTCAGTTTTAAGAGGAAAACACATGAACCACAGTGTGTAGAGAGCTCTAAATCACAGTCACCAATGGAATGAACAGCTAAA